TGTCGTCGGGGGTCACCTTTAATGAAAGCTTTGTCAAGATTTGGCCCGAAGTACGAAAAGAATCTCGATGGACGGTAGGCAATGAGAGGACGATAAGATTTTGGCTTGACTCGTGGGTTGGCCCAATTGGTCCGCTTATTAACCATGTATACCAGCGCCCACCAGACGAGCACCTAAGCCTGAAAGTCGTGGACTATGTGGATGAGTTGGGTAATTGGAGATGGGATGCCTTCCACGACGTGCTCCCCTCAGCTGTGATCATGCGGATTGTCGGGACTGCTCCGCCAAGAGACATCGCTGGAATGGACCAGCTCGTGTGGGGGGGGGGCATCACATGACGGACAGTTCTCTACGAGCACGACCTACGCTGCCTTAGACCATTCGGAGGCTGACCCGGATCGATCCCTCTGGAAGTTAATTTGGAGATCCTCTGTGCCGCAACGAGTCCGGACGTTCTTGTGGTTGACAGCTCGTGACCGACTTTTGACAAATGGAGAATGGACCTGACGTCATATGACCAGCTCGCCGGCGTGTGATATATGCGGCGCTGTCGAATCAACGTTGCACGTGCTTCGCGATTGCCCGCCTACGAAAGCTATATGGCGCAAGCTCATCCCGACCGGAATGGAGGGCAGATTTTTTCAAATGGAGCTCCGTCTATGGCTGAGGCTTAACTTAGTCGGGGTGGCGATGGGCAGGTTTCATAATTGGCCCAGCATCTTTGCGTTTTGTGCGTGGAGTTCATGGCAGGTTCGGAATTAGCGCATTTTTAAAGGCCGACGTCTCGACTACGAGGCTCGCTATTTAGATGTTCTCCGTCGTTCGGAAGCGTATGAGAAGGCGGCAACAGCCTATGTGAAGGTGGGGGCTGCGATTCATACGTTATGCATGATTCAATGGCACCCTCCGGACTCAGGTTGGGTCAAAGTTAACACAGACGGGGCCTTCAGTCCCAACACGGGCTTGTGTAGTGCGGGTGGAGTGCTACAGAATGAATTAGGACAGTGGATTGAGGGATTCGTTACGAATATAGGATTTGGCACAATCACTAGGGCCGAACTATGGGGCTTGTTTTAGGGGCTCCAAGTTGCTTGGGAGTTGGGGTTCCGACAAGTGATAGCTGAAATTGACAGCCAGTGTGTGCTGCAGATGGTACTTGGACCCAAAGAACACTTTGGCGTCCACGAATCACTAGTCCGATCCATTCGTAGCTTAGTCGATAGAGGGTGGGAAGTCCGGATCCAGCACGTGCATAGGGAAGCCAACTTTGCGGCGGACCACATGGCGGCTTTAGCCACTTCATACCCATTAGGATTTCAGAGACTCTCGTCGCCCCCCAGGGGATGTCGGCATGGCTTGACCACGACTTCCGTGGAGTACGTGGCTCACTCGCGTCGAGTTTTAGTATCGTAGCTTTAGGCCTTTGGCCTCCATCTTTGTACCAAAAAAAAAAAAAAAGATAACATGCATCAATTATGGTTTAAATTTATGTAATCAATTACCTAGCACTAATGGAGCAAATTGATGCATTTTATGGATAACATCATACTTATGATTAACAAATATCAATTTTTTCAATAAATACGCATACATTAAAATTGAAACATCATACTCTAGAAAACAATATAGTAAAAAGGAATGATATTTTATAGCATAAGCATGCATTTTTATTAAAAGAAAGTGAGAGTCAATCGTCCCATATATATAAAAATTTGTGTCGTATATATGGTGACTGGGGGCTGAGGATAGCGTTGGTCCTCATGAAAACATTATTCAGGCCATACGTGAGTTGCTCAGACTGGACTGGGTTGTTCAGTTGTCTCATATTATCGGGAATATAACTTCTCGGCCGATAAGTTAGCAGCCTCACTAGCTACTGAGGTCCTGGTTGGTTATCATTGTCTTTTAGACCCACCGCAGGAACTTGGTCATTAGTTGGAACATGATATTGTAGGCGTGGCTTACCCACGTCATTTGGCCCTTTAGTATTCCTTAGGCTTCAGCCTCTCTTTCTTGTACCAAAAAAAATCACTTAGCTAGCATTTTTTTGTAAACTTCTTGTACCAAAAAAATAAAAAATCAGTTAGCTAGCATTTTTTTGTAAGTTTATTTACATTAGCTTCTATCAATTATCAATATATTAATTGAGCTATAAATTCTAAGTGATAAAATAAATAATTTTAACTCCTTTAATAATTTAGTTCTTTATAAAAATGGTAAATGCAGCCACCACAAATCTATTCCTTAACAGCAGACACTTGAGAGTGGAGAGTAAGGAATAAGATGGATTAAAGCAGCACAAAATCTGGTCTACAAATCATATTTTTTCAAATGCCATCAAGATTTGCTTGATAATGAATTTCAAATTCCACTTGGAAAACCCAAATCAAGAGGGGCAAAAAGGGGAAAATGAGACAAAATTAGCCATTGAAGGGCAGCTTATGTTTCAACTTTTAGCAGTAAAAATGATTGTAGCAAATTAATTAAGGAGTTTTTGGGAGGCTAATTAATTAAGTTTGATATGGTTTTAAAAAAGGAAGATAAGAAGCATTATTCTTCCCATTGGCATCATTTTGTTTCCCATATAAGTGGACTTTTTTATTTACAACTCATGAATCCTTATCATGGTAGTGACAAAAAATGTGAATTGATTTTACTCAACCCCACTTAGGTCTTACAACTTTTTTAAAAATGAAGTGATTAATTATTTTATTGAGTTTTCTTGCCAATAAGTACAATATTTGGGTTCTTTCTTTTTTATTTTGTAAGAAACGGAGGAAAAACGGGTGCGGTCCCTCGCAGCTGAAACGCACCAAAACAGGAAAAACCCAAGTGAAGTCAAGTGAGGTTTCATCCTAAAATCAATTGATGGAAGGAGGAATTGCCCATTAAACTTATAAATTAGACATATTTTTCCTATATAAACGATGTGAGACAACTCACAAATAAATCTTCTAATATAGTTTTCTTTCACCATTGTATTCATAGTATAGTTGTATTTTCATGAAAGGAAAAGAAAATGTAAGTTTATTTTTGATATATATAGTAGAATGGTGATTTGATAATCATGATATTTGAAGGGAAATTGATTAATTTAGTAGCTAATAATAATTATAATTAACATACAAGAACACAAGCATGGCCTTGTAAAATCCATCATCCTCAACAAAAAAAAAAAAAAAACAAAGTTGGTCTTTTGGTGATTTACTTTAATTAGCAGCATTCAGTAACTAGAGAAAATTTATATTGTAGTTAATTTTATAATAAAAATATAAGTTATTTTAATTTTCTTATAGTACACATTAATATATTGGGAAAAGTCCACTTTTGGTCCTCCATGTTTAGGGGTATCCAGACTGAGTCCCTATTATTTTTTGGTGTCCAATTTTAGTCCTTAAAACAAAAAAATGTAATCCCTATTATGTTTTGGTGTCCAATTTTAGTCCTTAAAACAAAAAATGTAGTCCCTATTATGTTTTGGTGCCCAATTTTAGTCCTTAAAACAAAAAAATATAGTCCCTATTATGTTTTGGTGTCAAATTTTAGTCCTTAAAACAAAAAATATAGTCCCTTTTATGTTTGGGTGCCCAATTTTAGTCCTAAAAATAAAAAAAAATGTAGTCCCTATTATGTTTTGGTGCCAAAT